GTGTGTGTGTGTGTGTGTGTGTGTGTGTGTGTGTGTGTGTGTGTGTGTGTGAGTGCGTGTGTGTGTTTTCATTCTAATGAAATTCCATATTTCACTTCACTACCGTATTTCCCTTCCTTTGTTTGAATCTAGTCGTGGCGTGAAGTTGTTACGCCTATTATGAATTCTAAATAAACATATTACCAAATACGAGAAAATGTGTGTATTTATTTTATTTAGTAGAAAAAGCAGCAGTTCCCTGTTGTAGTTCAGGCACAGTTATGAGCATGACATTGTTGGATCAGCCCATTTACAATTCTACTGTGCATAAGAACGAGAAATGTCCCCCCTTTGGAAATGGCCTAAAGACACTTCAGTCAGTTGAATTATCGTGTGGGCAGAAGTTTTCGAATACGTTTGACTCGCAGCTGGTATTCCTCTCAGCCCGGGTTCTGCTCATATGACCTTACGCAGTTGCGAGCGCCGTAAAACTTCTACTAAAACTAAAAAGTAATTAGCCCGAGTTGCCCCGATAGACAGAGTAGAAGCAAACAGCCCTCTAAACGATCTGATGTGTGTCGATGGGGGGCGCAAAATACACATAGCTAAAATTAAATTTACTTGAAAATAATTATTAACTGCATAAACTTACCAATAAGCAAAGCAAAGCAATATCCGACTGGGGCTTGCGTCTGTAGTAACCCATTGCTTGCTGCTGATTCTGCCGAGCCGTTGATGTAACCGCCACCAACCATAGTCGCTGTGAAATAGAAGTTATCACTTATCAGATAGATAGACAGATAGATAGATAGATAGATAGATAGATAGATAGATAGATAGATAGATAGATAGATAGATAGGTATATAGATAGATAGATAGATAAATAGATAGATAGATAGATAGATAAATAGATAGATAGATAGATAAACTCGCACAAAAAGTCAAGGAACAAAAATTCAAAGAAAGATAACTGAAGAACTGTGTAACCGAATTTATCCATTTTTTCCAAAAAGATGCTTTCGACTCTCTTGATTAAGTGTGTACAATTTCAGATTTCAACAACAACGAGAAGTTCATGTAAAATGAGTTTAAATCACACTGGTCGGATTTCAAAAGTCTGAACAGCCATAGTTTTTCATGAACATTGTCAATAATGAGTGCAGCCACCCCGTTTGACTAAACACTCGGTACAGCGTCGACGCATGGACAAGACATGCCTTCGGGGAACTTGTTGAGGTAGGTTCAGCCCCTCCTGGTCGAGGCAGCCCAAGAGTTGTTGAAGGTTTTGAGCAGGAGGGTGGTTGTCCTTGTCCACCGGACAATGAAATTCCCAAATGTTCTCTATTGGGTTCAAATCCGGACTATAAGCTGGTCAGTCCATGCGGGTGACAGCTCGCTGCTGCAGGAAGTCCCCCACAATGCGTGCGCGATGTGGCGTGGCGTTGTCGTCCTGCAGTACAGCCTGGGGTCCAATCTGCTGCAGGAAAGGAACCTCAAGGGGACGCAGGATTTCCTCTCTGTACCTTGCCGCGGTCAAATTGCCCTGTATATGGTACAGGGGGGGGGGTCTTGTGGTGAGCTGAGAAGCCTCCCTATACCAGAACGGACCCTCCACCGTAGGGTGCCACCTGCTGGATACACTCAGGGTGGAACAGCTCTCCTCGGCGCCTCCAGACGTGGGCTCGCCTGTCTGGGTGCAGCAAGTTGAATCTGGATTCGTCGGAGAAGACTACCTGGTACCGCTGACATTGTGTCCACTGTGAATGGCGAGCAGACCGCCCCCGGCGAGCTGCTTTGTGGGGTGGCGTGTGCCTTGGGCGCCTGGCAGGGACACGAAGCGAACCTGGCTCTACGGATTCGGTTCCTTACCGTCTCCTCGCTCTCGTGGACATTTGCTGTTACCCGTAGTTGGTCCCTGATGTGGTTTGTAGTGGTGGTTCGTGGCGTCACGGCCTGTCTGACGATGAACCGGTCTATGCTGTCGTTGGTCAAACGGCGTGGCCCTGGTCGAGGTCAGTCCTGGACCCTTCCGGTCGCTCGCCATCGTTGTTGCAGCCTCTATATGACTGATGGGGACTCCCCAAGTCGATGTGCAACGATTAGGAACGTGGAGCCGTCTTGGAGCCAGGCAAGGGCTCGTCCTCTGTCGACGTCAGGCAGCGATCGTCGTTGGACCATCGTGTTGTAATGAAACACGGCTGAAAAACACTGGCTTATAAAGGGTTGTAAGTGAGCAATATTCACAGCTAAGACATCTGTTTAGCACGTGTCAAGCTTAGTTTTAGCTAACAGTCCCTATGCCAATGTTGCTGAAGCAGAGAAATTTAGCCCATTTTTCATGCTTTTCGGCTGTGATTCAGAATGCCCTGCGCCGTCGCTGTGAAGCTAGTGCGGGTAAATTTGCTGTACAGGCAAACAGTGTCTAGTCATCAGTGCGTGTGCCAAGTTTGGTTGACCGAAATTAACCGGTTTGCGAGATATTGAAGTTCAAAATTGACAGGTGAAAACACAAGTTGTTCCTTGACTTTTTTGGGCGAGTATAGATAGATAGAAACACCGTAATGCAAACAAACACAGAGAAACACCCACATACACGCACATACACGCACATTCACACGTGTGCACACACACACACACACACACATTCTTCTTCTTCTTCTTCTTCTTCTTCTTCTTCTTCTTCTTCTTCTTCTTCTTCTTCTTCTTCTTCTTCTTCTTCTTCTTCTTCTTCTTCTTCTTCTTCTTCTTCTTCTTCTTCTTCTTCTTC